GAGCTCCAGTACACACGCTGTTTGAAGAGTGGAAAGTTACCGAAGAATATAGAGTCGTACCGGGCATACAGGGCGTGCTCAGCGTACGACGATATATTCTTTTAAATATCGAAATAAATGTAGAGCGCTCAAAACCGTGGATTACGGACTGAAGTATTAATATATGTAGAATTGAACAGACTTAGATTAATATATTGAGAGTCTGCTTGAATATACATGAACTTACTGCAATAATTATATACAATTATGTACTACTTCGGCAAGCGTGCAGAGCTTTCAGGGCGAGCTCCAGTACACACGCTGTTTGAAGAGTGGAAAGTTACCGAAGAATATAGAGTCGTACCGGGCATACAGGGCGTGCTCAGCGTACGACGATATATTCTTTTAAATATCGAAATAAATGTAGAGCGCTCAAAACCGTGGATTACGGACTGAAGTATTAATATATGTAGAATTGAACAGACTTAGATTAATATATTGAGAATCTGCTTGAATATAGGTGAATTTACTGCAATAATTATGTACAATTGCGTACTGCTTCGGCAAGCGTGCAGAGCATTCAGGGTGAGCTCCAGTACACACGCTGTTTGAAGAGTGGAAAGTTACCGAAGAATATAGAGTCGTACCGGGCATACAGGGCGTGCTCAGCGTACGACGATATATTCTTTTAAATATCGAAATAAATGTAGAGCGCTCAAAACCGTGGATTACGGACTGAAGTATTAATATATGTAGAATTGAACAGACTTAGATTAATATATTGAGAATCTGCTTGAATATAGGTGAATTTACTGCAATAATTATGTACAATTGCGTACTGCTTCGGCAAGCGTGCAGAGCATTCAGGGTGAGCTCCAGTACACACGCTATTTGAAGAGTGGGAAGTTACCAAAGAATATAGAGCCGTACCGGGCATATAGGGCAAGCTCGGCGTACGACGATATATTCTTGTAAATAACGAAATAAATGTAGTGTCCTTACAGTGCGACTTTTGAATATTAAAGAAATAAAAATGATTGGAAATAATAAATGCTTTGGAATAATAACGTTTTAAAATAGCAACGCAAAGGAATTCCAAGAGAGAATCTCTGAAGAGCAACTGCTCGTGTTGGAATCCAGTAACACTATGGCGGTTGCTGACGCTGCTCCGACCTCCTTCGGTCGTCGATAAATTGGTGGGGTTCTCGTCGGAGTGGGAGCAATGCTGAAGTGGGGATAGCGCGAGAGTGGGGCTTGCGTTGTACTCAAGAAGTGGGGAGTACTCTCCACTCCTTCTCGAAGTGTGCTCTGTAGCATATTTTCGTGGGCGCGAGGCAAGTGGTTTACTTGTAACACGTGCTGCAACTAGCCTCGGGTCCGTTTCTTACGGATCCGGCTAAATTATAAGGCGTGTGGAGGGCAGCTTCCAAGAACGATTGCGTGGATTTAACCCTTAGGGCACTAAAACTATTTATTTCCAGTTTACACACTGCCGAATCCAGACTGTTTTTCAGACGAAGAGAAATTTTTTACTGAAGATTTTTGTATCAAATATAAAGAAGAGATATTCATTTTTTAAATAAAACTTCGTTGATATATTTTCATCGAAACAATCGTGCCTATTCTTCCAATGTTTCCTGTCAGATTTTACGATTTTATTGATTTCTGCCGCGTGTATGACGGCATTGGACCGTTAAGGGTTGATAAATAACAACGGGGTTTATTTATTTCTAAAACACCGTAAAACGGGATGACGCGCAATCTTTACTACGCTGCCGCTACGTATTCTCGAGGCTTCACGTACGTCCGCGCGCGTCGACGACTCGAGGATCAAGAAGGAAGGAAGTAAAAGGAAACGCGTGCACGGACGGTGCTGCGCAAGACGCGCATGCGCCGGGATGGTATGCGCAGCTATGCGGCCAGTAGTCGTGATACAGTATACTAGTAGTTCGGAGATTCTATGCTGCAACCTTTACTATAATATATTCGAATATCGGTGGTCGGTGTTACATTGATGGTTGGTATTCTATCGGCTATCGCTGAGTGAATCTATGTTCGGCGAGATAGATTCAGCGGTCGGTATTTACATCTTGTGTTGGTACATTATCGGTAGTAGATATAGTAAGAATATAGTGTAGAATACAGTATAATATATAATGAAATATTTGTTATAATGTATGTAACTAACTCTAATGTAAACTTGGAATAAATACATCTATCAGTTACGCTCAGATGACGCCACCCAAGAAAACCACTCGTCGGTTAAAAGTTCCACAAGTTTGAGCGTTTTGCCACTACACGTAGCGGCGCTAAATTTACATTTTTAGCAGCAAATAATTCTTGCCAGAATTTACATTGTTACTTATGAGAACAATGACAGGAATCATTTGTGGCTAGCCTTAAATACGTTCCAATCATTCGTATGATTAATTAAGAACCGATAGCTTCGAAGGAATTGTGTCATCTGTTCTCTATTCTTTGTTCTAATAATCTGTGCGAGTAATTGAGAACCAGTAGCTTCGGAAATTACATTTTATTCGTGCGGAAAGATCTTATTTACTAAACGCTGATAACTTATATTGGCGCTCGATAATTTAATATATGAACTTTTAGGAAACTCGACTACAATGTCAATTAACTGTTTCTTCGTTGCCTCAAATCAAATAAAAATAGCGGAAAAGATCATCGTTACAGATAAATTTAAAATATTTAATAAAGAATGTAATACATCACATAACCATAATTCTTAATTTTAATTTTGTATTCTAACATTATTGACATCATAGTGATCCTTCTGTAGAAACAAATTGAATTAATTTCTTCATTCGAGCGTACATTTCCACAAGAAATAACGAGAAGCCTAAATGAATTCGGTGCCGATAGTCTTACAAGATAAGGTATCATACTTCAGCCCCTAGAAATGCTGAAACGTACAAGGGGGTGTCTCACGAAAACCCAGTTGTACTAATTCCAACAATGAAAACGCGTCAAATTAATAACGAAGCTATTCCAAAAATTTCTCGAACTAGAAAAATTCAAACGAGGCAATATGTGTAACCGCCGACAATTTAAAAAAAGACCAAAGAAGTTAGAAAAGAACTCGCAGACGGTGCGCAGACTGCGTGGAAAATGATAAACTAGCGAGCCGAATTTTTCCCACAAAGGGGAACCATCGGCAACGAGCAGCGACAGTTTTCTCGCGATCGTCGGCGGTATAGCGAATCGCGGGGGGTGGTCTTATGAATTTTCCATTCGCGAGACGAGTGGTACAGTGGTGTACGCTCATTTTTGACTCCCGCTGTACATCTTACGCGAGAAAGATGGGATCGCGTGCTACATGTAGTACGCTGGGATTGGCCGTGGCGCCACCCCACTCCGCGACGGTGTTCAGTCGAGCTCGGGCCTTCGTTGGGTGCGGAGTGTGTGTCGTTCCGTCTAGTGTCAGTGTTCAGATTACTCACAGAAAATCAAGGTAAGCCAAACCATTTCGCTCGATACGTATCCGTAGCGTTTGTCACGACCACGATGATCCGTTCGCGCGTTATTTCCGTGCGGCTCGCGTGCCCGGCATTCGCGGATAACACAGAAAGTGCTCTCTCGGTGCTCGATACTCTCGCGTTCACATTGAACGTTAGACGAGGACGTTGGACCATTTGCTCCGTGCTGCACGGGCCCGCTCGTTTCCGGTGTTTCGACGCGGTTTACCTTTTTTTGCACGGCAGCCCGTTAGACACCGGGCAACCGTCGTTCTAACGAAAGCAACAACACACAAGAGACAGCGCCTCTCCCTTGGAACAAGAGCGACAGAGACGGAGCGTGGTGGCGCTCAGAGCCGTCTTCTTCGTGTGTACTCTCAGGATCGATACACACAGTACACACTCGGCGCGACGCGACGTTCGCTCCTGTGTAAGGTTACGATACGTAGACGCAGAGCTGGCCAAATTTCGTGGAAATATCCTTCGAATGTCCTTCGAACGAACGACGGAAAATGCGAACGGAATTTCAGGGTTGTAGGATAGTCTGTCACATATTTTTGGAGCATCTTCCGACGATTGAACTCGGGGAGGACAGGGTGTCGTAGCCGAAGGGGATGTGATATTTGGAGATGCTGATTTCTTTGTTCAACGCGAATTTCTGGAGGTTCGCTCCAAATTCGGGTTAACAAATGCGGCGAAATTATATTTCGGAGCAGAAATCCATTGTGCTCGGTATCTTCCGACCGAAATGGTGTTTCAACCCTCGTGCGCCATCCAGGTCAATTCGACCCGACAACGCGCCTTTGTGTTTATTGGTACATTGTATTAGGATGTATTCATTCATTTGTCAACAGTTTCGATGTGTTATTTAAGTACAAGTTTTTCTTCTTCGATCGGACATCACTTGTGAATATATTCATTTTAGGACATATGAAGAGTGCAGGGAGGCGAAGACCTACCCCCACAATATTACAGAGAATAGAGTATTTATCGAATTGATTGACGAATCATTTTTAGAATAGTATTCTAGCTAAGAATATATTATCAGCGTCACTTTTAAACTAGTCCACTTATTGAAGTAAATATATGTACAGCGATATTCACTAATAAAACACCCTTAAGACAATACTCAAATCGCGGAGCATTTCGTGACTGTTTATCGTCGAGTACACATTTAATTATAAACTAATATCAAATATCAAACAATTTTAAATAAAATAGACTGCTCAAGAGGATATTTAGTGATATTCATTACTAAATTATCTTAAAATCGATGCTCGAACCACAAATATTTCACAGACTATCAAGTTTTGCATTCGCTCGAAAACTATTCCTGCAATTAAAAATAAAATAGACTACGAGAGAGAATCGTATTTGCTAATCAATAATGAATAACTTTGGGAGTAATACTCAAACCACAAATATTTCACAGACTATCAAGTTTTGCATTCGCTCGAAAACTATTCCTGCAATTAAAAATAAAATAGACTACGAGAGAGAATTGTATTTGCTAATCAATAATGAATAACTTCGGGAGTAATGCCATAAGAAACTTCCGCGAAGGAACACTTCCGCTGTTTACCTACCTTCAGTCTAATGATCCCTCATGATCGCATCTCGTCTCGCTGCGCTCTAAAAATGTAAACACACCCTCGTGCACCTCGTGTGTACCGGTGCAGCCCTTTTTTTCAGCGTGTTGGACGAACACCGCCGCGATTTTTGCGGCGTGTCGCACGGGATCCGCGTGAAACGAGGCCGGTGTTGTATATGGGGTCGGTCCACTATAATATTTTAGCAGGCACTGTACCCGGCCGGGATGCGGGTGCGTGCGACCCTCTCGCCACCCTCGTTATGCGTCCCTGTGCGTCGCGTGCGTGCCTCCCTAACTGCGAGGATGGATTCCCGGCGTTGTAGCCAGCCGCCCGCTATACGCGACACGCAGGAAAATTCAAAGAAATCGAGAGAAGTGCGCGACAGGTACGGTCCGCCATGCGGGCACCTCTGTGAAACGCCACCCTCGCCGTGAACCGTGTGCACGCTCTGGCCACCGACGCTGAAAGGAAACGCGTCAAAGTCACGGGAGGCGATTCGAAAAGGAAGCTGAGCTCTGCCTACACCTGCTTCTGCCTTCTGGAATCGAATAGATGGTTTTTATTATTATTTATTCAATTATTCTAGGGCGTTGGGAGCACTGTAGCGCGCGCGGCTGTACTTAGACCCTAGAACTTAAAAATTGGGATTTTTTAGAGATTGTTCGCCGGGATCGAAATTTAGTATTTTTGTCCAGTCATCGTAGGTCCATTTTCATCTGTCGCCGGCATTTGCCCTATAGCTGTGTAATTAATATAAATTATTTACTTATTCCGAGCCATTGCATGGCATAGAGCTTGCAAATTAGGAAATTTATTTATATTATATTATAATATTTATTCAATTATCCTGAGGCGTTGGAAGCACTGTAGCGTCTGTACTTAGACCCTAGAACTTGAAAATTGGGATTTTTTAGAGATTGTTCGCTGGGATCGAAATTCAGTATTTTTGTCCAGTCATCGTGGGTCCATTTTCATCTGTCGCCGGCATTTGCCCTATAGCTCTGAATGCGACAGCACCCTTGTGCCACCGACACTTGCCCCTCGTATTGCTATCAAAATCAGGATGATGCAGCCGTGTAATTAATATAAATTATTTACTTATTCCGAGCCATTGCATGGCACAGAGCTTGCAAATTGGGAAATTTATAGTTGTACCGATCTTCGAGTATTTTAATAATTAAAAGGGGTTGATATATTATTTTTCTAATTTCGGTAGTATTATTGCACTATCCTTAGCGCGTTTGAGCTTAAAAAGCGTGGAAATTCGTCGCCCCAGTTCCCGCGGCCCGTAAAAATTTTCAAGTGCTCGAAAACTTTTTTGCCGTCGGTATATACCGCGGTTTAAATTTGAATTGGGTCGGCCGAGTTTCAAATGGCGTGTCTTTTTTATCTCCGTTTCACGAACGAATACCCTTATGCCCGTACTGAGGCGGAATATAAACGTTAGAATTTCTTTCTGCGTGACCCGTGGCGTCGCTAAAAAGGTTTCAATCGAATCGGAACTCGGGTCTCTCCCCTTCGCGATCGCGCGATAAGAACGATTATGGAAAATGCTACTGGCCCGGAATAATTCCAAGCGGCGGCGGTTTTTCTGTTCCGAGAACAAAATTTCTATAAGGTCGAATACGTTGGCGTGACGCTCTGCAATAATGAAAATCGAGAACTTTCCAGCGTAACTCGCTGAGAAAAATCGAACCCGCCAGACAGACTTCAAGCGTTTTTATCAAGCTTATATTTATATCAATTTCATTTTATTACCAAAATTACCACCGTCAGCCAGATGACCGATTTCATGCTTTTCTCCGATTTCACTAGTTATTATAATTATAAGGCTGCTTTCATGGAATATTACTGTACGTAGTATAATAATTACAGTGTAGCGTCTAAATAATTTTCTGCAAGACCACCTATTAGCCATGTTCAATGTTCGGTACATTTAATTAACAGACTTTTGTTCAACTCTTAACTGGTACACCGAGGTCACGAGTATACTGCGGATTTTTATGCAAAATAAGAATTGCTCGTATCAACTGCAAAAAATAGAAGCTGATCAGAATGTTCTTTCTTTCTTTGGTAATTCTAATAGATTGACAATGATTCATTGGCATTTCTGCTACTTCAAATTGCAACTACTCAATTTTTCTATAATTCACAGTCTAAGTCACCAGTGATTTGGATCAGCACATTTTTGCACTTTTTATTTGGGATTTACCATGACAAAGGCATACCAGTTAGCTCTGCGAAAATCATTGTACCTGATAGGGTTAACCCTTTACATTCGAATGACAACTCCGATTGAAAATTGCCCCGAATAATCAGAGAAACTTTACACGTCACTAAACGTGTTTCTATATCATATTAAATTGCTAACGAGGTGTCAAACCTGAGCAAATTTTATGTGAAATTATAAAAAGAAGTAGCTATTTCAAATAATTTATTTCGAACCGTTAGTTTTAATGCTGTCATTTGAAACTAATAATAACTTTGTTAAAAATTGTTTCATATGCAAACTTTCACTTTCCTAGAAAAAAAGTGAAGATCGCACGGAATGTTCTGGTTTTAGAAAATTTTTGGTTGTCGGAGTTTCGAGTGCAATATACAGTAAATTCTCCCTAATTGACGCTCAGATTGTACACAAAAATGGATAATTTGGGAAGAGAAGATACGATTAATCGCTGTCTCTTATACACATCTACAGTTACGAGGCAAATTATGGCTGCAGATGAAATTTCTATCACAGGTGCTAACATCGAAAGGCTAATTTCAAGTTCAAATCGGCAATTTTTGGAAGAGAAGATACGATTAATCGCTGTCTCTTATACACATCTACAGTTACGAGGCAAATTATGGCTGCAGATGAAATTTCTATCACAGGTGCTAACATCGAAAGGCTAATTTCAAGTTCAAATCGGCAATTTTTGGAAGAGAAGATACGATTAATCGCTGTCTCTTATACACATCTACAGTTACGAGGCAAATTATGGCTGCAGATGAAATTTCTATCACAGGTGCTAACATCGAAAGGCTAATTTCAAGTTCAAATCGGCAATTTTTGGAAGAGAAGATACGATTAATCGCTGTCTCTTATACACATCTACAGTTACGAGGCAAATTATGGCTGCAGATGAAATTTCTATCACAGGTGCTAACATCGAAAGGCTAATTTCAAGTTCAAATCGGCAATTTTTGGAAGAGAAGATACGATTAATCGCTGTCTCTTATACACATCTACAGTTACGAGGCAAATTATGGCTGCAGATGAAATTTCTATCACAGGTGCTAACATCGAAAGGCTAATTTCAAGTTCAAATCGGCAATTTTTGGAAGAGAAGATACGATTAATCGCTGTCTCTTATACACATCTACAGTTACGAGGCAAATTATGGCTGCAGATGAAATTTCTA